ACTCCCATAATTAAAATATAATCTATTAAGATAATTATTCCTAATTATCTCCATAATATTCCTTTTATTAATTATCCATCTTATTTAAGTATTATGGAAAAATACTGGATAATTAATTAGGAATTTCATTTATAGCTTTTCAAAGCTATTCATCCCAACAATCCCCCACTTGAATAGTTTTGAAACTATCTCTGAGCATCAACAGTTCCATAAGATCGGGCATAAGCTAAGGTATCGCGAAGATTTGAACCTTAGCGTAGTGGTTACACTTCCGATTTCATAAGGGTGACTCGTAGTCTTGAACCCTATCTCAGACAATGTAGCACACCGGATCTTTTCATTGAGTGATATTCTCTCATAGGCCGTGCGTTTATGGCCATGCACGTTATCCCGGTTTAGTGAACGCTCTAGCAACTTTGTGCCTCCAAAGTTCCATAGGGAGCGGCCCCACTCCCACATTCACATAGGTGAGTCTATCAGAAGTACCCCCAAAGTAAAGTACTTCACTCCACATAGAGTATAGATCTCATTAAGAGTTTTAACTCAACCTCCAAGGCTTTGGGATTCATGCTTCACTATGCATGAACTTTTCTCAATATTACTCATGACTTGTTATTACCCATTGAACCCGTTTCTTGGGATCTCCAGTCTATCGGGTCGGGTTACCATCACTTGTAATCCATGGTTCGGTAGGCATAAGTCTCATACCCTTCGTGGTATTTTTGGACTTTCTCTCTAGCTAGTCCTTTCGTCAAAGGACCAACTAGATTCTATTAGGATCTTACATGATCCACCCTCATTGCTCCTATCGTTAGGAGTTCTCTTACAGTACTGTGCTTACGACACATTTGTCGTCTCTTTTCGTTCTAGAACCGGTTCCCTTCTTTTGCAATAGCTGCGGTGCTATCACAATTAATCAACTACCGGAGGGATCGGTCTTTCCCATAAGGGAATCTCTAGTAGTGACCCTCTCAATCAACTTTCCTCTTTACTAGCCATTTCCAGTTCTATCATTTCCGATTTCTTAGTTGATTGAGCCAGGATCGTTTACTTCTTAGACTTCCAAGACATAGCTTCTCTATCGATGTTTAAAACATACCCTCTTGTTGTCTTGGAGTCCTCTATAGGGTATTCTAATCCGCATCACTATACCCTACCAATACAGCAAAACCATTGATAAAAAATACCAAGGTGTTTCTGTTCTTTTAAGGTGTCTCATGACCCGTTTCAATAGCATTTCAATGCTTCATACTAGGACAATCGATAGGCCTGCCAAGTACCCCCCACTAAATCGGGTCTCATGTTTATCAGCTGCCTCTCGCAGACTGTAAATGCTAGTATATTCTAACTTTCTTACACCGTCTTAGGTGTTCTTTAAATATTTATACTAGCATCATCAAACATGTATGCAGGTGTACATCTTGTATTTTCCTAGTTATTAGGATCTCTAAGCATAACATTTGTTTCAAATAGATCCTTCACATTCAAAATTCTCAACCATCATGGTTTTTCAATATTGACATCACGAGTCTTTGTACCAAAGATCGACGTGTCATTCATAAAGCAAGTGTCATTCTCAAATTTGTACTAAATGCACTTGTCGTTTTCACTTTTAAAACCATGAGAGAGAACCAGTTTATTCATGCCATCGTTTTAGAGTCTATTTCAAATCTTACAATGATTTGCCTAACTATAGACTCCCTAAGCATGTTCAGCAATAACAACCCTATAGGTTGTCTCATGTAGATTTTCCTATCTAAATCACCATTCACATAAACATGTTTAACAATCCATCTGACGCACAATCACTAGCAATCAGAACATACACGGATGTTATTCTACATATGGTGAATAGATAACAAGAAAATTTACAATTTTTCCTTTTCGCTTAAAGCCTTAGCTATTAGGCGATCCTTATACTCATAAACTAAACCAATAGGTTTCACTTTTCTTTTAAGAATCCATTTATTACCCATGACTTCATTGTCAAGAGGTAATTCTAAAAGATGCCAAATCTTGTTCAATTCTATCGAGATATTACCCAAGACTTTTCAACCAAGAGGTAACTCTACAAGATTTTAAGTCTAATTAGACTCCAATAATTCCATTTCGTTAATAATGGATTCTCCCACAATTCTTCATCTTTATGGAAGTTCGAACTTCTAGCAGACTTGTAGGATCTTTCTTAGGGTGTAAATAACAAATTCATAACAAAAAACCTTAAGAGATTTCAGGTTCATTTGCTTCCTCTGAGTTTAAACTCATATTTATTACCCCCACTAGTTCCATTATTTCTAATAGTAGGCAGGACACTACCCCCACTATTTCTTGATTTAAAATGGAAGTTTCTTGGCATTAATGGATTTCACAACAACATGAGTATTTCGTTTCATAGGAACTATGTGTTTTAATTGTAAACAACATAAAACACACTCATACGCTCTTCTAGTTATCATGCTACACTGATTTTCTAACGCTACCACATGCATGCCACATATCGAATAATCAGTGCAACCATAATGCAATTAGGCATTTCAAACCATTTCAAATAACTAATCAGACAATCAGAGCACTCTAAAGAGCAATAAATTGTTTATTGTCTTTTCCATCAAGTTTACCCACATAAATCAGATCTATTTATTCTGATTCTCTAATCACATATTATGGGTCATTTAGCTTGGATATAGAAAATTCATATTTTTCTCAAGCATCCAATAATAATATGGGAATGCGATATAAGATATTCTAATTCTTCACACAGACACACTTGGAAGAATTTATCTTATCTACTTAGTCATTCCTTACATCTAGGATAGTCAATGACTTTCTAGATGCAGGGTTCTCCCACTTTTCCAGAACCATCAACAATAGTGGTGAGGGTCTTGCCCAACAACACTTTCTCCTTCAATACGCGTCAATGTATGATTGAGCTTAGCTCGTTTATCACACACATATCTTGAAGCGGTCCTATCCAACAACCATTCTTCAGAGTTACCATTAAGGTTAACCTCTGCCATCACCTCAGTGAATATTATTACCAAATCCTCTTCTTTAGTCAAGTTAACACTAGGTTAAACTTGTTCTTACACTTTCGTGTCTTATGACCTAGTTTCTCACAAATTTAACAGAGAAACATAACGTCATTCTTAGAGGATTGGGTGACAATCTTATGGTTACCACAAAGAGTACCATTCTATTTGGTATGGATCTGGTTCGGCTTGCTGCTCTCATTCTTGAAACTATAATGTTTCAGAGCAGCCTAAGTGGTGCGTGTAGTACTAATAATAGTACTTCTTACAATATCGTTATTATGGGCAATAAACCCATTTTATTCCCATATATTCTTCAATGCACACATTTAGACAAAATCATATATTCTTTCCATAGCATGTATTCAATTTATGCTCTAATCATCGAGATACGTAATATATCTCAATGTCAACTTATCATGCATCAATTCAAGCTTTCATTCTAGCATTCATAACCTTTCTCAATTTCATGCATAAAAGGTTCATAGAAATATATTATAATTTGTCATTTATTAATGACTCGTAAGTAAGATTAAAATCTTACCTCTTTTCTGAAGACATTGCCTTTCTATAATAGCTAGCTTGCGTGGCTTAGCTTCCGATCGATAATCCCTTGTCCGAGACCGAGAGCATCTTCCCACTCCCGCGGCCTGGAACCCACTTGGGCCTGCACAAATACCATAAAGGGAAGCAATCCACTTTGCTTTTGCTGGTGGCTAGTTGGCCGGAGCAATTAATTGGACCGGGGCACTCTCTCCATTGGCCCAGGACGGAACTGAAGGGCACAATATCGTCAGAGGCAAGACGATTATGCCACCGCTTCCTTCCTCTTGTTTTACCAGTTTGTGCGTATCTTTTTATTCTTTTTCCGCCGAACCCACCAATGAACAGCAATTAGTCGATTCAAACAAAATAGGTTCGGCTGCTCCTGCAAATGAATGAAAACAAAACAAAACCTCTTCCCGAGTGCAGGACCAGTGGTGTAATTTTGCTAGCAGACAAAAATCCAAGACATATATAGCAAATCATTAGTGACATATATGCGCCCGTAAAAATTCACATATAAATGGCTGCATTCTTTTCCCTTCTCTGTTGCAAGGCCAAGGGCAACAAAAGAATTAATCAAAAATCATAAAAGTTGAAAGAGGGATATATTGACCCAGCAAATCTACTGATTCCCATCATGCACGCGCTGCAAATTACAGGGTCCATGCCCTGTTCTTCTTCCCAGTGGCTCTCGACCGGCTGTACGGAGATGAGCCTTTGGCGGCTTTCCGCCTCCCGATTATTACAATAATAACAACAAGCACAACAATAATAACGTTGTCGAGGAAGTTAATACCCCCTCGGCATAATTAATCAGAGTCTACAAAAGGCAATTGGATGAGCCAACCAATGGAGCGATCCTGAAAGCATCGAATTGTGGGGCAAGCACATCGCTACCACTTTGCTACGATCGAAACCAGATCCGACAATCAATCTGTTCGGTACACACGACAACAACCAAACGTCTTAAAATTGTTAGAAACCGAACAGAAAAATTCGGGTTACCGATCTGGCTGAGTCGCGGACTAGGTCGCTCTCTTTAAGACGTTCGCGGCACTGCCTCGTATTGCGCACAGCAGACTATCAGCCGGTCGCCTCCAGGATAAAACAGCCATTCTGATTTGTTGCTCATCGGTTTTGTGCGAAAAACCGGAGCTCTATGAATTCACTCTCTCTCGTGTTTCTGCTCTTCTGAGGTGTGTTTAGAGGGTCTGGGGCGTCTCCTATTTATAGGAGCAGAAAACCCAGAATATTCCCTCTTTCTTTGGGAATAAGTCATATTTTAATTAGGAAGATAATTATTCCTAATTATCTCCATAATATTCCTTTTATTAATTATCCATCTTATTTAAGTATTATGAAAAAATACTGGATAATTAATTAGAAATTTCATTTATAGCTTTTCAAAACTATTCATCCCAACACCATCCCTATTTCAGAATCCCCTCCCACTCCCAGCCATAATTTCGTCTCCTTTCTCTTAGGTCTTAGCCAAAGAGGAGAGGGAGAGAAAACTCCACAAGGTAGAAAATCAGACAGAAAATGGAGAAGGCGAAGCAGTTCCTGGAGTCGAGCGAAGATGAAGCGAACAGGGTATCGCAACTCGTGATTCATCCTCACCGAGTCGGCCATGAGTGCAGCTTCTACGAAGACTTCGCTTTACGAGGCATCCGAGTCGACCGGGTCGACCCCGGCCTCGTTTCTTGTACCTTCACCGTGCCTCCACGCCTCACCGTAAGCCCCCGTTTCTTCCTTTCACATAGTTAATAGCTCCTTCCAGTTACCGATAGCGCTTCGAACTAGGGCGTGCGTGTGCCTGTCGGCTGTCATGTCATATCTAGCAATTTTGATTCTTTCCTCTTTTTCCCCAAAACGATGGAGATTTTGATTCACTCGAGAATTGGGAATGAATCATCGGTGGCAGGACAAGAGCGGGAAGCTAGCCACCGGAGCGATTGCCAACCTGGTCGATGAGGTGGGAGGCGCGGTGGTTCACGTGGAAGGTCTTCCCATGAATGTCTCTGTCGATATGTCCATCTCCTTTCTCTCTGCCGCTAAGGTCCATGTGCGTGAGGATCATAGTTTCTCGTTCTTGATATGTAATGTAGGTTTGGAGTTGATGATGGTTCTTGCTTCCTCGCGGATGTTCAATTTTGCAGGATGAGTTGGAGATTACCTCCAAAGTGTTGGGGCGGAAAGGCGGCTACGCTGGAACGGTTGTGCTGGTGAAGAACAAGCTGACTGGGGAGTTGATAGCCGAGGGCCGCCATTCTTTGTTCGGCAAACTTCCCAGCAAGATGTGATCCAATCTCCGGGATAATAAAACGCTTATGCTCTTTGATCGTCTTTTCGTGCTTGGAACACAGGTAGGCTCTCTGTCGGATGCTGAAACATGACTTTGCAGTTTGCTGGATAGGAAATGCGGAGTCTTGGCATTGCATGATGTGCTACCAGTAGAAAGCATAACTTTCCACCCGTTGTGGTAGGATCTCTTGCTGTTAACCTAAATCACAATTGAAGATAGATGCCTGGAGAAAGGATGACTCGTCTGCTAACCTTTTGGTTGTTCGTTGGCCAATCTAGTGAATGTAGTGTAACTGCAAGTACTTTCGATGTTCATGACTTCATGTATAGACATAGCTTTCGAGTTGCAGTTCAATTCACCATTGGCCAATTGCTTTAGAGACCAGTAGTGATAGCGTTTGTATTGACTGCTAACCTGGTTTGATGGTATCGTCATCTTTCCATATATAGTCAGTCATTAAGCGTGGATCCGAAACCTGCCTTTGTGCAGACTAGTTCCGCCTGTGTTTAGCTGGCGAACATACATCAGGATGGAATTTGTACTCAGTGGTATAGAATGCTAGTGGGAACTGAATCAGGCATCCACTTTTCTTGTTAAGAAGCATATTTGAGTTATGACTTTTCTGCAACTACCTGGTTCTTGATACGATGAGATTGATTTCAGCAATAATGGAGACTGTTTGCTTTCCCTGGATTGAATTTCCGCAGCTCTTTGTTTATGAGAACAGTACAAAGCCACCAAAAATACTTTTGTTCAAAACATGGGTTGTAAACTTGTAATGGTGTACTGATTAGTAAAATGACTCAAATCCCTTCTGCTGCTGCTGCAACTGACTAGAACAGGTACTTTTGTTTAAGGGCCTTAGTGATGTGAAGAAAGCCCCCATATGCGCGGGGACCAGTTACAGTAACAACACCCCTTGTGTTGTTATTGTAACAACACTAGTTTCCAACCAATAGGAAGCTAGGGTTATGATGACTTTTTATTAGATGAGTTGACCTAGTGTAAAATCAAAGCAGGGGTATAATTGTCATTATGAAAAATATGTTTAAATAATAATAAAAAAATAAATAAAAACAAAAAAAAACAAATTTATTTTCGGACCAAAAATTTGGTCGCCGGAATTCGGCCACCGGTCGCCGGTCACCGGAATATGCTTTTTTGTCGCCGGAATATGCTATTGTGTCATCGGAATATGCCACCGTCGTCGGAATATGCTCACCGGCGTCGGAATATGCTTACCGGCGACGGAATCTAGTCATCGGGGCCGGAATATGCTTATCGGCGCCGGAATCTACTCACTGACGGTCACCGGAGTTCGGTCAACGATTTTCGTTGACCGGTCAACGGTCTTCGTTGACCGGTCAACGGCCAACGACCACCGGATGTTATGGTATGCATTGTGAGATTTATGGTTTGGTTTCTCATATTTTTGTATGCCTTTTGTGGTTTGGTTTATCGTGTTTGTGGTTTGCATTAAGAAATTTCTGGTTTGCTTTATCGTGTTTGTGGTTTGTATTGAGAAGTTTCTGGTTTGCTTTCAAAAAAATTTGTGTTTGCATTGAGGGGTTTCTGGTTTGTTTTAATATATTTGTGGTTTGCATTAGGACGTTTATGGTTTGCTTTTTTGTGGTTTGATTTACTGTGTTTGTGGTTTGCATTAGGAGGTTTCTGGTGTGCTTTCGCAAATGTTGTGGTTTGCTTTGTGGGGGGTTTTTTGTTTGTTTTAGGGGAATTCTGGCATGCATTAGGAGGTTTCTGTTTTGCATTAAGAAGTTTCTGGTTTGTTTTATCGCATTTTGTGGTTTGCATTAGGAGGTTTCCGGTTTGTTTTAATATATTTGTGATCTGCATTAAGACGTTTTTTGTTTGCTTTACCGTGTTTGTGGTTTGCATTAGGGGGTTTCTGGTTTGTTTTTTTGTGGTTTACTTTACGGCATTTGTGGTTTGCATTAGGAGGTTTCTGGTGTGCTTTCGCAAATTTTTTGGTTTGCTTAGTGACATTTGTAGTTTGTTTTAGGGGGTTTGTGGTATGCATAAGAAGGTTTTTGGTACTTTTTTTTAGTTTGGTTTACCGTATTTGTGGACTGCATTAGAGGGTTTCTGATGTAATTATGAGATACTTGTGCTGTACATACCAATAAATTCCAAATACATAGTATAAACACAATAACCCGTAAGAAAAATCGAAAAGCACGATCCTCACGAACATTGTTGTTAACTTCGATAATCTTGGATCCAGCCAAGAGTTGCATCACCAGTACAATCATCAATTAAAGCAAACCTAGTACTTGAACGACATGCAAATCAAAGTACAATGCTTTCTAATCTGGATATGTAAAAGTCCACCGTGACTGTACTATGTTTTCATCATCTCACTATAGAGGCAGGGCAACTCCACCGCGATAAAGCTCAGCACTAAAATCTCCGGCGATGCTATTACTATCAGCCACCTTTATCTCTTCCTTCCCCACCATCACCAAAACCGTCGCTATCGTCCAGATTTCCTCCCTCTCCCATCGGATTCCTCCGCCGCCCGGCGAATCTCGTCCTCCATCTCCTGAAAGCTGCTACTCATCACTTTATTCCAGTATTCCCCTGCTGTGCTGCTACGACGACCATCAACCTCCTCCTTCTTCGTCTTCGTCTTCTCCTCGTGCGGAGGATCCAGATTCAATCCACTCTCCGCCGCTTCATTTACCACCAACGGACCTCCCCAAGCTTTTCCAGGTTCACTCCTCTTTCCCTCTCCCCTGCTCTAGGGAACGATTCTCAATTTACAATCCCCTTTCAGCGCACTGAATCTTCTTCCTGCTGATGTGGTCTCCGCCGCCTCCGGATTCACCCTTCTTAGGACGCGGCTCGTTAATTGACCCGCTCCAAGAAATCACTATGTGAGTTGTGAAGAAGCGGAGGAGAAGCTGATGGTGGCGGAAGAGAAGCTGATGGCGGCGGAGGAGATCGAGGTCTGGTAGGGGAAGAGATCTCCTATTGCAACTCCTCGGAAGAGCGTCGTCTGTGCCTGCGCCGGAGGGAAGAAAACGATCGGTTGCAGAATACGGTTGGGATCTGAAGAATTGGGGATTGGAGGAGAAGGAGAAACACGTTTTTATTACCTTTTTTAATTTTAATTTTATTAGTTTTCTTGTAAGTTTACCCTTATACCCTTGTTGTTACAGTAACAACATAATGGGTGTTGTTATTCTATCTGAGCCATATGCGCGTACAGTGTTAAATTGTAAGGGGTCAGTAAAAGTAAAAGAGTCGGCACAAAGGGGATTGCTATTTGGTGTCTTAATTCCAGCAGCTAAATGGCTTATTATGATTAGTATGTCAAATTATCCAACTAATTAACCCACTGTTGTTCCCAGTCCCATCTCAAGTTCTCAACTAAGTTCCTTTGAAATTGAATCACCATACAAGTTATGATTCGCAATATGCATCAAATTTTGGAAAAATATGTAAATCTGGTCGGGTTCTTTCTTCACAAAAGCACAATTAAACACATATTTTAAATCATCAACTTAGTATATAGTCGTATGATATGTGAATGTCCAATCCTTCACCCATGTATGGTTTATCTTGACATCAATGAATGAGATCAATTCAATGAGTTATCATGTTGTTTCGAGTTTTCATTTTTGTACATGTGTTATTTACTTTTATTTTTAGCAAATCTCCATTTCCAAGCGGTTAGTTGATTATTTTTCCTTTTAACTAGAGAAGAATGTCTACCATTAAAAAAAAAAATTAGTATAAATCCATCATTAACATTTAACACCATCCCATCAAGTTTCGCAAATGTTTCGGAGGTGAACTATTTTTTCAATACGAAATCATTGTTTTGTTTGTTTGCATTACTTATGTGCCCATTTTGTGATATGTTAAAATTTTGTGGCCGTATTTTGCTACCGAACATAACTTTCATGACCATTTTGATCAATTATCAAAATATATGATGGTGTGAAAGGAAAGGAGGACGGGTATCCCAGTCATTTGACAACTTCCCGGCGTCATAAATACGCCGCCTGCTGCTGGCGGCTGCCGTCCTTCTGCTTCCCCGTCTTCTCGCCAGCTGCCCGCTCCGACATAAACGATGCATTCTTCGTCGTTCTCAATCCGCCCACCTCCAGAACCTTCCCTTCTCGCATCCTCGCAACCCCGCAAAATCCTCAACCCTGACCGTCTCGTTTCTTCTACCTTTGCGCATTCCTCGTGGTCAAGAACAGTATGCGTCTCTTCGTCGCCGAGTGGGATTCCGCAATTCCAGCTGCGAGGAAGACGCACTGTGAAGTTTCACCCGGTCTCATCGGCTTCGCGGCTTAGGGCTTCTCCAGATGGTGCTGAGTTCGGTTCTCCGCCGGAGGGCAGCGAGCTGCTGGCGCCGAGTTTCAGGGAATTCATCACGTCGGAGAGAGTGAAAGTGGTAGCAATGCTTGCTCTGGCGCTGGCGCTCTGTAATGCCGATCGCGTGGTGATGTCGGTGGCAATTGTGCCGCTTTCAAGGTCTAACGGGTGGAGCCGGTCCTTTTCTGGTATCGTTCAGGTGATCCTTAATCTGTTTTCGTCGATGAAATTAACCGGGTAGAAGTTTGCGCGATTACTATTTTCTGCCCCTCAAGTTCATTTTTGTACTGGCGTATATTTCATTGGTGGGATTAAACTTGTGACCTTCTTGTATGATTTCTTACTCTTGTTGTGGCAGTCGTCTTTCCTGTGGGGATACCTAATTTCACCGATACCTGGAGGGACCTTAGTGGATTACTATGGCGGAAAGGTAGTTATGGGGTGGGGTGTAGCTTTGTGGTCGTTGGCTACATTTCTCACTCCATGGGCTGCAGAAACTTCTTTATGGGCCCTGCTAGCTATGCGTGCTGTGCTTGGCATTGCAGAAGGTGTAGCCCTTCCTTGCATGAATAACATGGTAGCGAGGTATACATAATTTCTGATGCTATACCTCTCTACAGCCAGCAACTTCTCCCTTGTACTTCAGCATGGTGAAGCTAAATTTTTGAAGATACGACTTTTTTCTTTTCTGCTAGATGGTTCCCGCAGACAGAACGATCCAGGGCTGTTGGAATTGCTATGGCTGGATTCCAGCTTGGCTGTGCCATTGGGCTCACACTATCCCCAATTCTCATGTCCAAGGGGGGTACATTTGGGCCATTTGTGATATTCGGACTATCTGGATTTCTCTGGGTGCTGGTTTGGTTGGCTGCAATATCAAGTTCACCAGACAGAAGTTCCCAGATTTCAACTCTTGAATTGGAGTACATTCAGAAAAGCAAGATGCAGAAAACCACTCCTGTTAAAGAGAGACCCAAGACTGGCTGGAGGCTACCTCCATTTGGGCGGTTGCTGTCAAAAATGCCAACTTGGTCATTAATTGTGGCTAATGCCATGCACAGCTGGGTACTATTGACCATCCCAATTAGTACAGTATTCAAATTCTGTGATCTTAAAGTGTGGTCATATCACCAATTCACCATGGCCAGATTCAAGCCTTGAGCTTGTGAAAGTCTCAACTTTATTTTGTGTTGGAACTAACTTGTGTAAGTATTTTTGCAGGGATTCTTTGTCATTCTTTCTTGGATGCCCATTTACTTTAATTCAGTAAGTCACTGCGTTCTCAAAATCCGCATGCTACATTTTAATATTCTAGTAGACTGGAAGTTTAATCAGAATCACTAAAGAAGGTAAACTGTGATGCCAGGTATATCATTCAGATCTTAAACATGCGGCATGGTTTAGTGCTGTGCCATGGTCTGTGATGGCTTTCATGGGTTACTTTGGTGGTCTTTGGTCGGACATGTTAATTCGGAACGGTGTTACTGTTACTTTGACTCGTAAGATCATGCAGGTATCTGAGCACATTAGGTTTCATCTCTTTTG